CCTGTCCCCCTGGGGGGGCTGGGGTCCCTGCAGCCGCTCCTGCGGGCTGGGGGTCTCCCTGCGCCGGCGGGTCCTGCTGCGGGGGGGCCTGCCCGGGGGGGGCTGCACCCACCCCCACCTTGACACCCGCGCCTGCTTCCTCCGCGCCTGCCCAGGTACCGGGGCTGGGACCACCATCACGGGCTGGGACCCCCATTATAGCCTGGGGACCACCATGGGCTGGGGACCATCATGGATTGGGACCACCACCATGGGCTGGGGGCCACCATGGGCTGGGGACCATCATGGATTGGACCACCACCATGGGCTGGGGGCCACCATCAGAGTCTGGGACCACCATGGGCTGGAACCACCATGGGCTGGGGGCCACCACCATGGGCTGGGGACCACCATGGGCTGGGGGCCACCACCATGGGCTGGGGACCCCCATCATGGGCTGGGAGCCACCATCACAGTCTGGGACCACCATGGGCTGGGACCCCTGTCATGGGCTGGGGACCCCAATTATGTGCTGGGGACCACCATGGGCTGGGACCACCACCATGGGCTGGGGGCCACCATCACAGTCTGGGACCACCATGGGCTGGGACCCCTGTCATGGGCTGGGGACCCCAATTATGTGCTGGGGACCACCATGGGCTGGGACCACCACCATGGGCTGGGGGCCACCATCACAGTCTGGGACCACCATGGGCTGGGACCCCTGTCATGGGCTGGGGACCCCAATTATGTGCTGGGGACCACCATGGGCTGGGACCACCACCATGGGCTGGGGGCCACCATCACAGTCTGGGACCACCATGGGCTGGGGACCCCCATTATGGGCTGGGGACCATCATGGATTGCGGCCACCCCCATGGGCTGGGGGCCACCCCCCCCGTTGTCCCCGCAGTGCCCGGTGGCTGGGCAGCCTGGGGGTCCTGGTCCCCCTGCGACGTCGAGTGTGGGGGGGGCGTGCGGAGCCGTGTGCGGAGCTGCAGCGACCCTCCCCCCAAAAATGGGGGGCAGCCCTGCCCGGGGGGCACCCTCCAGGTCCAGCCCTGCAACCTGCAGCCCTGCGGGGACCCCCCAGGTATGGACCCCCCCGGGGGGACCCTCCAGGGGGAACAGGGGTGGTCTGGGGACCCCTAACCCCACAGCAGACCTGGCCCCACAGCACCCAGCA